CCTCCTCTAGAAGTCCACATCACAATTCACACACACTCAGAGAAAGGATATCTATTTTATTGGGTGATTATGTTCAAGCTTGGTGAGAGTGATATTGGTCATGTTGTAGATAAATCTCATAGAGTCAAGTCATTTTATGTTCCTACTCTATTAAAGTGGCAAGAAGCCATGAAGGATAAGATACGATCTTTGGCTCACAACCAAGTAGGAGTTCGTGGAACCTCCTGGTTAAACCCATTAGCTGTAATCAGATACAACTCAGGACCTGGAAAGACTCTAATGGAAATGTCGAATGGTACAACGCAAGTTTAATGAATAAGAAGAAATATGATAATGAATAAGAGGGTGAAAGGGAGACTAACAAGAATAGATTAAGGACCCCCAAATGCCGAAGCATGTTCCACTTTTGAAAACAGAAGGTTCCTCGGCCATCAGCTCCAAAATCTCCCCACTTCGGGAAACAGAAGTTTCCATCAGCTCCAAATGAGAAACATTCACACGTACCAACTCGGGTTTTTCTTTAAGCAAGTAGAGAGCCAAATCTACAATTTAAGCAAGAACCAGTAATCAATTTCAAGATTATTTTTAGCAACATTTAGTTTGCGAAATTTTAAAAATGATCATCGCAACATATATCGGCATACATACCACAATATGAGAACAACAATCAACATAAAAGCCCACCTTTAACATGGAACCCAACACTCAATAGGTGAGCTTGGGTTTGACTCAAATTATAATTAAGGGTCCTAGTAAAGTATACCAAAGAGTTGGATTATTGACATAAACATATGAGATTTCAACCATTCACATAAGAATTCGGCGGCTGGTTGGCTGAAGAAGGAATTAAGATTCTTTTGTAAAGGAAAATAAAATATTGTATTACCAACTTACCATGCCAAAGAAATTGAAGTTGTTATAAATCAATGCAATCAACAGATCGGGCAGCAAAAAGAATTGGGAAGAGAGAGGCTGCGCAGAGCAGCGAGTGTATTAGCTCTGTCTAAAAAAAAATGTTGAGCAATAACTTTACATACCATAAAATTTTGCTTTTACTAGAGATAGCAAAACGCTGCCAGCAGTTGCATCTTCAAGTAGATTAGAATAATTATTCGTCAGGAATTTATCGAGCAAGTATGAAGTCATCCGTTTGTGACATCGATTTGCGGCAACTTGGATTGGCAACAAACCATCGTTGTTGAAAAAATTCAGCAATTCTCCATTTTTGTCCACGAGCAGCTTTGCTATTTTGACATTTCCAAGCTGTGCCACCGCATGAAGTGCTGTATTGCCTGAGTTGTCCGTCTGAGTGAGTAAGTCTGGCGGCGTCTTATTAACCATCTTCTCGATAAAGGAATACTCTCGTCCTACCTTGACGGCCAGGAGAAGTGCTGTGTCGTCAG